CCCAGGGTCAAACACACACACGCCCCTTTCTCGTTAATGCTGAACATGTCAACCTTGACTGATAGGGACATCAGAATATGTGCTGGGGGAGGTGGCCAACAACAGGCATGATCCCACTTTCTCCCTCAAGCAGTTAGGGCTTGGTAGAGAAATCTAGCTCTGTTTGCATTTTTATATGAAACTATATATGGGGAAACACAGCAAAATTTTGAAAGTCACGCTGAATTTTGCAATGAAATTCTCCAAACAGAGAAACAAATTCTACAAAAATGCATATGAGTAAATATAAGATGCAAAAGTCCATTGTTTGAGGGGAAATTCTTTCAAATTTGCAGGCAAAATTGCATGCTAAAAAGTGTCCATTAGGAGATATGTGCACTCAAATGCTAGCTAATTTTTGTGAGGACTTTTCTTAAACACACACAAACTGATACGTTAATGTGGCAAACTGGATTTAAGATTGGGCGGAAATGAGAAACTGAAAAAAACGGAGATTGACAGAAGAATCAACTTCTCTCTGTTAATCTCTCAGAAATGGAGAAGGGGATATTGAAACCCCTTGTCATTGTACCAAGATTATACTGCATTTGTGTTTTATCAAAACACAAGTGCATATTCAAAGAACCGTATGAAAAGAATACAAATGTGTATTTATTTATTTACTTACTTACAATGTATATGTGTGATTCAGTAGCTTGGGGGATACAAATAGTATGCACCAACCCTGGAATTCATTTTCATGAGTTTCCTAGTTAAATTAAAATGCAGGCAAAATGCAGGGCAGAGTGAAACTGAGGGATTATAAAGTGACTGGATGGGGAAATCCTCTCCTCCCTAAATTGTTGTGCTCACTTCAGCAGTAAAAGCCAGGAGTTGGGAAATCTTGTGAAAGCCAATTGATCTCCCCTCCTCTTCGTTATCTTGTAAACTATGGGGGAGTGGGAAGACCCTTGAATCCCAGAGGAAAATGGAACGGGCAGATTCTAATTGGGATGTAAATGTTGTTTGCCTTATCTATGGAGACCGGGTTCTGACTGTTAATTGGCATGCTGTGAGATCATTTGGAAACGGTTGATATAACTCCGTGGTCCATTGAACAGGAAGCATGGCTGTTTTCACAGTTTGATCATCAATGCATCACTGCACACAGTTCCTTTCCAAGATCCCCCCCACCCCCCACCCCTCACTTGCTTATAATGGAACAGTTTTACTTGTCACATACAAGTAAATGTTAATTCTGGGGGAGTGGAATCCTTTGTTGCAAACTATTCAATAATCCAGTGAAGTTAGAGCATTCATATTTTAAGTAGTGCCAAAATCTGTCCTCCAAATTCTTGCAAGTCCCCACCCACCCCTTTTCCTCGCTTTGAAGGAGATTTCCATTTTCCTGCCTCATTTTCAGGGCACTTGAGAATTTATTAAGACTTTCTGGGGATGTGGAGTTTTGAATGTATCTCACCATTGTGAGTGGCTGAGAGTGGCATATGTGGTCCCTCCCTCAATAACATTTCCCCAGCATTCTGCAGCCTCCCCAGCTGACCATGCTCCTGATCGTACCCTTGGAAGGAGTTCCCCGTTATGGGATTTAATGCGGACATCGGCACCTGGGGAGACTGCCGAGTGCAGACCACTGGTGAGATGAGTGGTTGGCTGAAAGAAGTGGCACTCACAAGCAATCCTTGCTTCACTCAGAAGTAATGTATAAACGCATTATTAAAATAAAATAAAATAAATTGAAATGAAATTCCTAATCTCATTAATTTATAGAGAATGGTTAACAAAAGATGGGAGAAAAATTTAGTGTACTGCTAATTTTAGGCATGCTTGTATCAGGGTTCTATACATATCTCTGTACGGACTTCAAGGCTCTGTTTTGTAGCTTCCTTCTTCCCTAAGCCATAGGAAGTTACAAAGGGAAGCAATTTGTTCTTGTACTGGAGACTTGTGGCCTTTTTCTATGTCTAATATATGCACAGGCATCAACTCACAGGAGCCCAGATCTCTTTGCTCCCCTACCAGTAAAATATTTGACGGAGCCAGGAGGGGGGCAAAGTTGATGGGCATTGCTGCTCCCCCCCCCCACACATTTGGACTTCGTTTCCCAAGATGCTTTCTAAATAGACTTGTAAAAGGGTTGCTTAATGGCAAGAGAGGTGGGATTGGGCAAAAACCTCTGACATAATTTATTACAGTCTTTATGACTGGAGAGAGAGAGAGAGAGAGAGAGAGAGAGAGAGAGAGAGAGAATGCAAACTGCTTCTCCATGGGGCAGATTCAAGGAGCTCTACTAGGATGAGAGAGGAAGCAGCTTCTGGTTGCTTATCATTTTAAAAAATTAAAGTAGGAGTGCCTAATTCAGATGACTTGGTGTCAGGGCTGGTTCATATGCAGGTCAGCACACAAAAAGAGCCAGTGTGGTGTAGTGGTTAAGAGCGGTAGTCTCGTAATCTGGGGAACAGGGTTCGCGTCTCCGCTCCTCCACATGCAGCTGCTGGGTGACCTTGGGCTAGTCACACTTCTCTGAAGTCTCTCAGCCCCACTCACCTCACAGAGTGTTTGTTGTGGGGGAGGAAGGGAAAGGAGAATGTTAGCTGCTTTGAGACTCCTTCGGGTAGTGATAAAGCGGGATATCAAATCCAAACTCTTCTTCCTCTTCTTCTTCTGGGGTTCTCTTGGTGGTTCCCCAGCTGGGGCCTCCCACCATTCCTCATCATCCAGCCAGTCCCTGACGCCTGGAGGGAAAAAGCTCCCCAACTGTTGTTGTTGTTATTGTTGTTGTTGTTGTTGTTAATCTGCCCTTTACCCCAAGGTCCCAGGGCAGTTTACAACAATTGAAACTCAATATTTAAAAGCAATTTAAAGCAACTTACTGTCACAGAAATAAGATGGGTCCTAAAAAATATGCCCAAGCAGGAAAATACATAATTTTGGAACCCACATTCATTGATTTTGGGTGCAAGTGGTGCTCAACCAGATGCCTAGAAACTTGGGCTTGAGGAGAGTTGGGTTCAAGTCCCTTTTTTAGTTTTAAGAATGCAGAGTATCCCTGGACCAGTCTCTTGTTTTTGAGTCAACATCACAGAACTGTTTTGGAGATAAAAAGTGGAGTGGAGTGGGGAATAAACCTTCACCAGCACTAGATACGTCTGTTGCTGGGATTTGGGGGTGGGGCTTATCTCCCACTCCCCCAATATTTTATTCAGGTTGAGGCCCCTAAATATATGCATTTTATTTAAAAGTATGCATGCATAATAAATACAGAAGTCCAGGCAAGCAGTCAGATAGAGGCTGCAGTGCTAACCTTTTTCAATAACTACATATGTTTAATGTTTTATTATATTTTTATATATGTTGGAAGCTGCCCAGAGTGGGTGGGGTATACTACTACTAATAGTAACAAGGCTACAAGCAAGTTGCAACCAACCGTGCAATGTAATTGGAGATATTCACAGATGTTCACAAGTGAATCGGAACTCCTGCCTAAGAAACTGCATTGCACCATCTGATCAAGGTTCACCCTGTTGTACAATCTCTTTTAAAAGTGTTGAGCCAGATGCCATTTGGCACTTCCAAAGTAAATCAGGGGCCACATACAAGTAATAAAATATCTGGCAGATCAAATGTCAACATGTGAAGCTAGTAATTTTATTTCCCTACTAGGAAAGGCTTGCCCTATGTGATTTGTGCCAGTCACACAGATGTTAACGTCACAAGAGTCATTCACTTAGTTCCTATTCCTATACTTCTTGCTGCAACTCCTTCCTCTTAGAAGTGGACCTCTTCATCAGGGAAGATATAGAAAATACCTCACATTCCTTCCTTCTTACTGCTTAGCACCTGTGATGAAGTGGCTAAGCAGCAGTAGCACCTGCCTATTCAGCCATAGAACATTGCCGCAGCCTTTTGCTTTCTGACTTTCTTTATCAATGACCAATTGGTTTACTTAAAAAAAAAAAAGAATGCTAAATTTCTGGACCCTTTTCTTGCATGGTGTGATGTGGGAATGACCATGAAGATGAACTAGAAATTGTTCAGAGCTCTACCCTCGGACGGAACCCTTAAGTTCACCTGGCAATTATAGGAAATAGTCAACTTCATTCATGCCAGGCATTGGGCACTCCCAATCAGTGCATGGCATGATCAATCACCCACACCCCTGCCTTCTGTTGATTCTCCACATGTGGTAACCAAATGTAAACTGCAACTGTACTTGAATAATAATAATTCTATTATTTATACCCTGCCCATCTGGCTGGGTTTCCCCAGCCACTCTGGGCGCTTTACAGCATATTTAAATAATAACCAGTTGTGTATTCTTTATCTCCTTGACGTCTGAAGGGAGGGCATTCCACAAGGAGGGCACCACTGCCCAGAAGGCCCTCTGCCTGGTTCCCTGTAACTTCGCTTCTCGCAGTGAGGGAACCAGCAGAAGACCCTCAGAGGAGGACCTCAGTCATTCACAGTCATGGTTTAACAGTCATGGTTTCCTCCTCTCTCTCCATGAATCTATCTAATCCCCTTTAAAAAAAAGAGCTGTGAATTACACACTTCGATTAAGACCACAAACTAATGCACACCTGCCTAGGAGTAAGCTCCTCTGAACTCAGCTAGACTTAACTTCTTTACAGGCATAGCAAGTCTATCTATGAGGATGAAACTCAGGGAAAACTCTGAGGCTGAACTCGCATGCACACTTACAATAGGAGTAAATCTCGTTGAGACCTTTCTGAGCAGGCATGCTCTGGATTTGTATGTAAATTCATATTTCATTATGTCTCTTCTGATGTGCACCAGCTCATTCAGCTAATGTACAAGCTGGTTTTAGAAACTGCCATTAACAATTATACTGTTTGAAGCTCTCTGTAGCTGTATGTGAAACTCATAAGCCAAACTAATTGTTACTAATTATTTGTGGTGTTGTGTGTATGTGGTTCTCCCCGCCCCTCTAAATTTGTTACTGTCTGTAATTCTAATCTGATTAGAGTATCTTTGTGTTTTAGGGTGGTTATGCTGCGTACCGGTATGCCCAGCCTACCACAGCAACCGCAGCTGCCTACAGTGACAGGTAAAAAGTAATTTACTGCTGAATACATACCTCAGTTGGAAATTGTGCTACTTAGACACCTTGTGCTCTGCTTAGGTTTCATGTTTTCTTGCTCTGCGCATAGCTGTAGTCTATAAGGCTACATAGTTATAATCCATGAAGAGCCATTACTAGAAAGGTTAGTTGCCCACCTTATAAGATATTGGATAACTGCGTAGTCACATCTAAACCAAATTTACCATGAACTTAGCAAGGAATGGAGAGACTGCACATGGCTCTCCAACGTCTGGCATCATCCTGACATTTAGCTTTATGTTCCTTTACTTCTTGAAAGATAAATCCATGTTAAACCCTAATTAAAGCCAATGGAAACAAAAGATATACAGAGCTTATAGTTATTGATGGGAAATGATCAGCAGCAGAAACGAAACAGTGCTTTCTTGCACCCCCCCCCCAATTTTGGAAGCAAGTCCCTGTTGATCTGGGACTTAATTACTGGGCAAACATGCATAGAATAGGATGGTAATAGCACAATTCTGTTTCTGTTTATTTAGAAGTAAGTTCCATTGAGTTTGACAGTGCTGACAATCTCACAAGTGCAGAGCAAACCTCAGTGGAACTTACTTCTGAGTAAACATTGCCCGTCACACTGGTCCCATCATTTCATTGCCCATCCCACTGAGCTCAATGTGTAAGTGAAGCCCAGCCTTCACTCTCTCCCATTGCAGTCAGTGAAACTTACATACGGATGCTTATTCATAGTTTGATTGTGTCCAACATCACTGGGGGAGCAAAGAGATCCAACTCAAATAAAATCTGATCACACAGAATGATGGACAGAATAGAAATACCTTAACTTTGACAACATCAGCTTTCCATTGAAAGAGAAAACAGAACTTTAAAAATCAAATAAATATTCAAAGAAGCAGAGGAAAGGAATAAAATACCTGGATGATTTGCAAAAGGTCTTAGAACTCTCATTTTCACTTACAGAAAATGTTCAGGCTTTGTGAGCTGTTAGGGAAAATGGCACCTCTGGAAACCTAACTGGGGAGAGTTTGTCAAGGAAGCAACTGTTAATGAATTTTATATTTCCATTCCTTTTAAGGTGGGGAGTGGCATTAAATTAAAAACATAACGGTGAAACAAATGGTACATATGCATACATATAGAGTATATATCATATAACTTTAAAGTGCTATTCATGGATTCAGTTCCCTAAATATCTATATGGAACAATGAATGAATGTTGAAATGTTCTGCATGCTCAGTTGCTTTCTCAAAGTGCTGCTTATTCTGGTAATGAAGAAACACATACACATGTTTGGTGAATAAAATCAATTTGCATGAGCTGGCTGAGGCATGCTGTGTCTGACAGGTAAGAAAGTTAACCTTTTTTCCCCCCACTCTGACTTACGGATTAGCCTTATCACTCCAGTTCTGCTATTTGTGCCTGGTATGCAACTGGAGTTCCGAGTTTTTTTTTTGCTTTTCGTTCCTTACTTGGAATATCCGATCGTACGGAGTGCAACTCAGTCAATCCTCATTTCATTTCCACAAAGGTGTGTCATTAGCATGTGGCGGCTAAAAGTATTTTCTCTGTGAGCTTGCAGCGCTGAAAAGGCTACTGGATCTTTGAGGGCAAAAGCTATAAATGGTAGCTCAACGTTATCTAGAGCCAAACAGGAAAAAGAATAGAAAAGGAAAATTCCTGTTAACCTTCAATTTGTCACTTGGCTCTCTGAAAATATTGATTCTGGGGTTTGAATACATTTTTTTTCCTATGGAGGAGCATTGTAGGGTTTGCATGGTGTCAGTATTCATAAAGGAATTGAACACCCTGAACATGCACAGAGTGGCTTCTGCAAATGTGCATTATAACCTGCCCCACCCTTAGGAACCTGCTATTGCAAAGAGAGCACCACTGGTATCCTGAACAAATCAAGTAAAGCAAGGCCATCTGTGCTTCCTCTAGGAATGGGGTGGGGAACCTTCTTTTCCCCCAGCCCAAGGGTCACCTTCCCTCTTGGACAATCTGCCAGGGGCTACATGTCTATGGTGACACCAGAGGCAAAAGTGGGTGGAGCAATGAATGTAAATTTTACCTTTCTGTACTAGCCTTGTTTCTACACATACTCATGTACTCGTTTCTATCCTACATCCAGGCAGCAAGAGGCTTTGTCAGAGTTCACTGACACATTCTAGCCAGGCAGGCAAAAACACTTAATTAGGGTGTGAAGCAGGACTGGTGAGGGGCATGGCCTGGGGAGACCCCAAAGACAAGATAGAGAGGCCTCCAGGGCTGTATTTGGCCCCTGGGCCTGACTTTTCCAAGCACTACTTTCAGATTGTCAATTTGCTTTTCAATCAGGCATCTAGCATAGAGACTACTCTTCAGGAGAAGCATGAAAAGAAGATATTTCTGAAGGATTCCTGGAAAAGGCTTTTGATCAATTGGAATGGCATAGTTTGATTTGAAACGTGCTTGGGATTGCAGAGGTGTGACAGCATCCGTTTCACAAGAGACAGAGAATATGACCAGGAATAGTAAGAATTTCCATTCAGTTCACATTTAAAGGCAAGCCCACCTAATTTACACCTTTCTGAAACAAAACACAGACCAAAACATAGCTATCCTTTGATATTTGTAATACAGTTCTCCACCCAAATTGTGTGGGCAAAAATACACAGACTGGGGGACACCTCCATGCCATTTGCATTCAGGGTATGGTAGTGTGGGGCAGAATTGTTAGCCCTTATTTGGTCAAGTGCCTACATTTATTAGAATGCAGTGACTTTACAATTCAGCTCTCCATTTTACATGAGTCAGCCTAATGCAGGAGCATTTCCACAGCCTTCCAGTTCCATATATTACATTCCAAAGTGTTTTGAATGGTTTAGGTCTGGAGGAAAACTTCAGAGGCACTGAGCTTTGCCTGAAGCAAAATATCAAGCAGAATTTAGATGAAAGGAAGGAAGGAAGCAGGCAAGCAAGCTTAGTTTCACAAGAGGCAGTGATGGCCACCAACTTGGATGGCTTTAAAGGAGGATTGAAAAAAATTCAGGGAGGATAAGGCTGTCAGTTGCTATGTTCTGCCTCCATGGTCAGAGGCAGTAATGCTTCTGAATGCCAGTTGCTAGAAAACATAGGAGGGGGGGAGTGCAGTTGTGCCCGGGTGCTGCTTGTGAGTTTCCCAATGGGCCATCTGATTGGGCACTGTGAGGACATTATGTTGGACTAGACGGGTCATTGGCCTGATTTAGCAGGGTCTTCTTATGTTTAAGCTTTCCCATTCAGCTTCATCCATAAATTATTCTCATTTTTGTGAGGACATTTGAATGCAAGGCCCCCAATGCCTCCATATGCTGTGCTAGCAACAGTAGAATTCCCTGAGCAGTGTATTCAGCATTTTAAAGCAACCTTCAACTATTTTTGCTTTGCAAAAGTAGATTTATTGTTCTCTTTGGAAGCTGACCATCCAGATCATCAACCTTTTTTCAGGCCTCTGGGAACATGTGAATCTTTAAGCAAGTGCCATGAATGCAACCCCCTCTAGTCACTTCTTTCTCTTCTCCAGCCCTCACCCCAAGAGAGGGAGAGAGATTGCCACTTTCCCAAAGGATCTGGGGGAAAGTGAAATTCAGTAGAATTAATCTGAGCCTTAAAAAGCACATAGAGCTGAAAGAGGAAATGGGAAAGAGTGCCACTCTTCCAACTTCCTCCTTCAGCTTTATGTATTTTTCAAGGGAGTAAAAGATCAATTTCACAGTCATAACCAAGGGACAGCAAGAGGGGAAATAATCCATAGACTTTGTGGGCAGCAGGAGAAGACCTCAAGGACATGATCGTGCACATGGCTGCCACAACAATGACCATTGCTCCAAAGAATCACTTGAGACTTAATTTTAGCTAGTTTTGTCAAAACTCTTTTGACTTGCCTGCATTGCAGGGGTTTGGAGAAGATGACCCTCAGGATCCCTTCCAACTCTAGAATTCTATGATTCCATGATTCCCTTGGAATTCCCCTGATGTTTTGTCTGAGGAGAAACTCTCAAGTTTAGAATTAGATTTAGGTGAAGGCACTTAGCTAAATCAATTTTCATTGGCGTGGTGGGAATCAGGGGAAGTGGAAAGCTCAGGGTTGGGATGGAGGAGAAATTCAAGTCAGGTAGCACTTAAAGAGAAGTCTATCTAATCCACATTTCCTTTGAAACAACATGAAAGCCAAATCTTTCAAGGCAGTTCCCTAGTCAAAATATGTGTAAAATGTGCATGAAAATAACTATACTAGTGAATATAATATACAGAGATTAATATAACATACAGAAATGTACATATCAGAAAATAATCTCACTAAAGTGCTGGCAAATGTTCATGATTCACAATCCAATGTGAAAATGTGCAGAACTGAACTTAAATTTTCTCAGAGCAAATTCAGCCTCCCCGCCCCCACTTTGAACAAGCATAAACTGCCTTAGGACCCCCCAAATGGGCTCATCTCCTGGTCTAGTGACCCACTTCCTTTCCTCCCCTCCCTTCCTGATAATCCTTCCACCTGAGTGTCATTTGAGGGGCAGCTCTGACAAAGAGATGAGAAGTGTCTTAACAGTAACTTTTGGTCAGTGTGTACAAATCACAACAGTCTAGCTCATTTATGAGGATCTGGCTAAGAACACAATGAAATTTTGCCAAACCAAGCAGAATCAGGAAACAGTGCAATAGTTACACTCCCCTCCCAAATTATTATTTATGACAAAGTATCTCCAGCATGCTAAATTTTCAAATACCCTCTTTATGTATAATTAGGATAGCAAAACATCAGTCTTTTGCATAATCATAGGTATTTTAAGTGGATTTAGTTCGTTTTGGGTATTATGTAGCTTATTGGTTTTAAATGTGTGTGTCCCCAGCTGAATAAAGATTTGGGGGGGTTAGTTGCAAATCTATAAAATTTTAATTGCTTTTCTCTCTGGGGGACATTATAAAACTACTTTTAATAAGTAACCTATGCAAATATGAC